GACATCCAAATGTGTAAGGCTATTGGAAACCAAAAAAATAAAGGAATGGGATAGCTATAATTGGATAAATTCGGCATATGAAAACACCAAAATCAATGATTTTTTTTTCAGTGGCTGTGTGACCTTGTGTCTGACACATTCATATGCAAATGACTAATCTGTGAAACAAATAGGGGCGGAGACAAACCACTCAAATGTTTGGAAACACTAATTGTGTGTCAGATAGCTACTGATAACACATCCTAAAATTGCTTTGTCTTGAGTTTATCTTTGAAACTTATAGGCACGCAGATTAAACCTGTGTTGTTGATTTTGGAAAACACTACTGAGGCTGCCTTGCTCCCCTTCAGAAAATCTACATTTTAACCAACTTACATGACATTCTATGTTATGTTGACTTTATCACATGAAAGTTTATAGTGCATTTCATCAATTAATAAATAAATGTGAAAATCGTAATTTTCAACACAAATAATAGTCTCGCTACCTTAAACATTGCGTTGTAGAACATCATTCCGTGTATAGTTTACACTTTGCTTCGAGATACAGACAGATGGTGCTAAGTATATCATATATTGTATGTATTCTATCTACATACTTTCAGCTGTTTGAAAACATGAACTGAAATCTCAACATTGAAAGTTTTGAAATATTTCCTATTCTGATACAATGCAAACTAGTTTATTTCTAATATCGCAGTGAAAATGTGATATATTTAACAGCATAAATACTTGTGTATATAATTGACACAGTTTAACGCTTATTATTGCAGTTTCACTAACACTGTCCAAAATTTAAATTATCTTGAGTAGCTCATACTTTGTGTTGCTTAGTATAGTTCATGTGACATAGAAGTAGTTGTGCTTTACTAATCATGCCTATAGTTCATTGTTACATAACGTGATTGCTGTATTTAAATAATAGTTAGTTGCATTCACAATGTTACGATATTTATAATTCATGATTTTGTTCTAATTTCCGTAACCAATTTATTGCTGACATAATATTACGATATTTTAAACTTGATCAATTTCTTCGTATATGATATCGCTGTGAATCATGTACGTAGTATAGTTACTGGTGATATAGTCTTGATTAAAGCGATGGGGTCGCCACCTGCGCATGCGTGGGAATTGAGTCCCAAGCGATGATAACAACACACGCTAAAAACGCAAATGCTCATGGGACGACGCTTGTTTGTATACAGTGATACGCTGTGGCCATTTGACGCATGTGACGACTCCCCTGCTTGAATAAACATAAATAATAGTTTCAATAACTAGTACTGGTACTAGTGACAGGTCCAAAATTTAAATCTTAAGGTCACATGGTTCCAACACAGCACAAACTGTCAGCCTGTGAGGCTTTCATAGATTCTTGTGTTCAGGTGAATATATAATATCCAACAACTGTTTTTATTTAATTCATATGTTATAAATTATTTATGTTTTTCAGTACAGGATATGGTTAAGCAGGTTT